CAGTCTGGTTTGCTAATCCTTTAGAAACAAATCGTTTAGGGACGAGGCCAAGCCGTATAAATCAGCTGTAATGTTGATTCTTTTTTCCTCCCTCCCCACCACCACCACCCTCTCAGGCTGGTGAAGAGGGCTCTGCTCTGTGCCACTGCACCCGGCGCAGATGGTTTTCAGGGGGCAGATTCCAGCCCTCTGGTTTGAAAAGCAGAATTCCTGGTGTATTAAAAGCTTTTACTCTTTTCTTCCCCCCCCTCCCCACCCTGTGTCTCTCCCTGAATCGCACCAGGCGTGTTTCTATTTCCAGCAGCAGTAAATCAGCGCAGGTTGCTAGAGGAGGAGAAGAGCAGATTTTTTTCCTCCTCTTTCTATAAAAATGGAAGACCAACTGCTGTCACAGAAGCAGCGCTACCCCTCCTGGTGCTTTTCCTCAGACACAGCCTCCTCTTACCCTTTGGCTCTTCAGGAGCAGCTCGTACACCAGGTTTATTCCCCACGGGAGCGGGAGGTCTCTCTCTGCAGAACCCTCTTAGGATACACGAAGGGCTGATGAAGTTGTGCCTCCCTCATGTGCTGCCTCCTCCCTGGGTGCAGCTTCAGCGCTGACCCCCTTCGTTTCAGGGAGCAATTTGGGGGTGACTGGTTTGTTTTGAGGCACGGTTTTGTGCCGGCACAGCTTGGGCTGTTGTGAGGAAGCATCTGCAGAGGTGACTGGAGCAAAGACTGGGGTGATGCAGGCTCACATCAGAGTGGATATTCTGTTATCTATCAACAACAAACATGGCTCGACACGGGGCACAAAAATAGCCAGAAAGTGGCTTTCAGAATAATATTTTCTTGTCCCTCAGCCACTTGGCTGGAGATAAAGCTTTTACTTGATGCTGGTGCCTAATGAAAACCTGAGCAAAAGCAGAAATGTGAGAACTGATTAACCCCCAGGTGGATGCTCTGGCTCAAAATCAATGCCCTCAATTCCAGGTAGTTTAATTCATCCCAGCTCTAACTATTTGTCTCCTGTAGTTACACCGTCCCTCTGGTATTTGGAAGTGGTGTCTCCGGGTGTGCTCCATCAGGGCTGTTGGCCAGTGGCTGCAAGTGTGAGACCAAACCCATTGATTCCTCTTGGTTCTCCAGCATCCAAGGGTTGTGTCTGGGGCCTGTGCATTATCCTCACTGCTGATTTGTTGAAGTTGCTCCCTGTTACCCTTTCTTTTATATTCTGATGGTAGTAGTTACATTCCCTAAAGGAGGGGGAGGAATGCTCCCCTCGTGCGTTCCTTGGATTTGGCTTCTGATGAGTATTTTCCCCCATTTCAGGGACTCCAGGCTCCATGGTGACAGGAGGGACAGCCCCAGCCCAACACGGGCTTTGCCTGGGTGCCAGAAGGCAAGTGGCCTCCTGGGCCAGCTGGAGCAGGAGCTGCCGCTCGCCAGTGCCACTCAGTGAGCCCTTGTGCTGGTGGCACAAGAGCTTTCCTAAAAGCTTTCTCGTTTGAATAATTGATGCCTCTTGATCCTCAAGAGATGGCCTAATTGCAAAACTGGTGGCACATGTTATTTCCATCCTATTTTTAAATAAGGTTCTGAATTTCCTTGCACAAGTGGTGTGGCCGGGGGTTCCCGCGGGTGACAAGTGCCTGCCCCTGGAGACACGTGAATGTCTGTGGGCACCAGAGCCAGGCTGAAGCTTCCCATAGCAGCTCTGTGGTGGGAAGGGGCAGCGTGATGAGGTGCCACATCAGCTCTAGGATGGTTTTCCATCTTGGGAGCCCCCATCCTCACTGGGAAGTGCTTGGGCAGAGGGGACCATGGGGCTGGGGCCTCTCCTGACCCTGGTGCCTGGGGACATGCTGGGAGAGCCCCTGGGTAAGTGCAAAACCCCTTTGCCCTGCAGACGTTGGGGGAGGAAACCAAGAAGAGGAAGAGAGACAGAGCTTTCAGTGCTGGGGAGACCAGGAGGGGGAGTCCCAGCCTGAGTGGAAGGTCAGGGTGATGGGAAGGCCAGGCAGGAGCAGGAGGCCCAGTGAGAGTGGAGGATGTGATGCTGTAGGAGACTATAGAGGGAGTGGGACGCTGCACAGTGATAGAGGGTGGGGAGATGCCAGGAGACTTTGGGAGGGCAAGCACCACCAGGAGCCTGATGGAGAACAGAGGCAGGGGAAAAGGCTGAGGGAGGTGGAAGAGGAGAGTGAGGATGAGCAGGAGCAGAGGCTGAGCAGGGATGTAAGTGGACAGCTGGGGAGACTGAAGGTGTAGAAGAAAAGCAGAGCAAGAACAGATGCCAAAAAATGATGGGAGGGCAAGAAAGAGCAAGGCTGAGTTGGAACACGAACTGAGAGACCCAGGGGAAGCTGATGTAGAGATTAGTCTATGCAAAGATGCAGGCTGATGAGAAGTTGAGGCTGAGTAGAGGTGGGAGGCCAAAAGGGGGTGGGAGTCTGAGGAACAGTTGAGGCTTTGCAAGGTGGAGGGCAAAAGTGGATGAGACTCCAAAGAACAGTGGAGTTTGAGCAAGGGTTGAGGCCAAAAAGGGATGGGAGGCTGAGGAAGAGTTGAGGCTGAGCATGGGTGTAGGCCAAAGTAGCTTCTGTGGCTGAAAGACTCTTTAATGTTCAGAGGAATTGGGAAGCTAATGATGCCATGGTGTTGGAGACTATGAGAGCTGAGGCCATGGGGCAGGAGGCCTCAGGACTGGAGATGACAAGAACTGACACTATGAGACCAGAGGCCTTTGGAGCAGATTCCACAGGAGAGAAACGACAGGAGCTAAAGCCATAGAAGATCATGCTATGGAGTTGGAGAACCAAGAGCACTATGTGAGAGGAGGTGCCAAGAGGGAGTCAAGGCCAAGAGAGTCTTCAGGTTGAGAGAGTGGGAGGTAGAAGAGGTATTGGAGGGTGAAAGTGCTGGAGGCTAAGGGATGGTGGGAGGTCCATGGGCTGTGGGTGCCAAGAGAGGGTGGGAGGTGACAACAGAAGGTGAGAGGTCCAGGGGGAGGCCCAGCCAGCGGAGGCTGATGCTGTCACTGCACCCTGCCAGCAGCTGGCTCGTGCCCAGGGCCTGTGTTTTGTTTTCTGCACGTGTGTGTAAGACCTTGCTCTCCCCATTGCACCACGGGGTGGTGGCCTTCAGGGCTCACCCCCATTGTGTTTAGGAGACCCACCCGAGTAAAGCGGTAGAAGAGGTATTGGAGGGTGAAAGTGCTGGAGGCTAAGGGATGGTGGGAGGTCCATGGGCTGTGGGTGCCAAGAGAGGGTGGGAGGTGACAACAGAAGGTGAGAGGTCCAGGGGGAGGCCCAGCCAGCGGAGGCTGATGCTGTCACTGCACCCTGCCAGCAGCTGGCTCGTGCCCAGGGCCTGTGTTTTGTTTTCTGCACGGGTGTGTAAGACCTTGCTCTCCCCATTGCACCACGGGGTGGTGGCCTTCAGGGCTCACCCCCATTGTGTTTAGGAGACCCACCCGAGTAAAGCGAGATTTCAGATTTAGAAAGGCTTATTTTCTCCCCTCAGATGCAAATGCAGCGCGATACAAACCTCATCCCTCGTGGTGCTGTGCGATAGGACTTTGCTAAACAGGGACAAGGTGAAAGGCAACGCTCGGGGATAATGAGATGGAGAATTGTCAGGTTGGTTCCTGGAGCAATTCCAGACAGAAAAGCTGCCCCATGTACCAGCTCTTGGACCAGCACATGGGCTCTTGGTCCTTGTCTTAAACCAACCTGCACTTTCTAGTTCTAACAGGTTTCATGAGGCCCTATCACCTTTCCACTTTGTGACTGGACATCACTCATGGCACAGGTGGTGGTGTGGTCACCACCAGGGTGGTGCCGCCTTTAGTGATAAGAAAACATTAACATTTAAAGAAATACATAATACAAAGGGGACAGAGTCTGTTATGAACCATCTGTTCATGCTTTCTTCACCTGCTTTCCCAGCACCAATTTGAGCATGAATTGACTCACATTTATAGTTCCAAGTTTGAGGCTCTAGCTTGAGAAAGTGGAGGGGATGAGCTCCTGCCAGCAGTGGTTTCTCACCAAGTGAAAAATTCCTGCATTCTCCTTTAGTGAAAATGAGAACTTCATGTTATGTGTTAAAACCCATATTTTTCCGTGGTAGCTTTCAAAGCCAGGTCAGATAAAAATCTTCCCTCAAAGCAGCTGTATCTCTAGCTGGTCCATCACTTTTACCAGCTATTTTGAGTGACCCAGACCAGATGTACATAAATCCAGTCTTCTAGAAAGTTCTCAGCGTTGGACGAGTTTTCACATTTAAACCCAATTCCACTGGGGATTTTGGTGCTTGTCCCAGCTCCTCCCATGCAGCATCGTGTCCTATAACAAGGCAAAGCCTCGCCATCACCCGTGACCTGTCCTCCCCTTCCCAGCACTGGTGAAAGCTGGCAGTGGAGCTTTCTACGCTGTATCCTACCAACTGTTCTGTCCTGTAAAGAAACTTCTGTTAAAGTCAGAAACACGCCACTCAAGAGCATGGCAGTGGCATTCAGTGGACGTTATAACATTCATGAGTGACTTCTTGGGTCTGCGTCCACGTTTGAGGAGCTTACAGCTCTTGTGTTACATGGTAGAGTTTTCAAGCAGGGAATGTTGTGGTCTCCGTGGGGACCGCTGGACACCGCTGTCGGATCCTGGCTCTGCATCAACACCCTTTGCAGAGACAGTGACGCTGATGGTGGAACCCAGATGAAGACTCCCAATGAGACATCACTCCTCGTGACTGGGACACCTGGAGGAGCCTGCAGGGGTCAAGGTGGAGGATGTGAAATGGGAAGCGACTTCTATCACTGGGAGTGCACAAGAATAATGAGAATTTCACTTCCAGAGTGGAAGAAAACAGCACTGTCTGTAGCTACAGCCCTTGGGCAAAGACTGGGCCAGCTCCACCCATCCTGGTAGAAGCCATTACAGTCACTGGAAATGGAGGGAGAAGCAGCTGTGTTTTGGGGGCTGAGGGAGCGTCCCTCCTTTTTGATCCTGCACAGGAACATTCTGTGTGGTCACGCCATGGGTGTCTTCTCTTGTGAAGGAGAACATATGATTTTGAAGTGGCCATCGTCAGGACTGGGAATGGTCCCAGCGCTGCCCGTGCTGCATATCCCGGTGTGAGAGGGAGCAGCCCTTTCCCCGATGTGGTAGGAGGTGCTGTGGCATGATTTGGTCTCTTGAACAGCAGAGCCATGTCCAGGGAAGCAGAAGCCACAGGTTTCCACTGGCTCTGGGACCCTGCTGCCGGTGGATCCATCACCAACGCTGCCTGCTTCCACCAGACGATCTGCAAATAAACCATGTGCATTAACTTAAGGGTTTTTGGGAGTCCTTCTAACCTCTGTGGGCTGGACATGAGCTGTCAGAGGGCTCTGCTCCATCATCTGAGACCTGATAAGCAGGGTTTGGCCAGGGGTATTGAAAAGCACACAGGAAATCTCTTTGAACCTGGCGGCTTCCCTGAAAAGTGGAACATTCAATGCCACCGTGTCCTTCGGCCAAAGCAGGGAGGGATGGCTTGAGTTATGGTTCTGCTGGAGCGACTCTGAGCTACGCACCAGCTCGTGGGCTTTTTCTTTGTGATTTTTGACATCCACCACGACTGGCTTTGAGGTGTATGTACATAAACATGTGTGTATATACGTAAATAGGTGAGCAAACCTTTTTATTTCTAAAGGCAGGTGAGGAGCAGAGGGAGAATAAAACCATCTTTTTTTACTATGTTGACTTACTGCATGTTATCCTTTCCCTATCTTTTCTCCCTAAAGCAAAGATTTTGTGAAGTCCCTCTGGTTCCAGCGTTTGATGCCACAGGGTGATTCAGAGGAGCAGTTGCATCATGAGCATCTTTGAAGGAGCAGGTAGTTACCGTGGTTCTTGCCAGGCAGCAGCTCGCCCCAAAGAAGCCCCAGGTGATGGAACCCAGAGCTGCAATTGCCATGAAAGCCCTTCCTTGGGCAGGTGGATTGCTTCAGAAGAGGGTTGGCTTTTGGTGACTCCACCTCACCATGGCTCAGCCTCTGGATGGAGATGGAGAGCTGTGGGTTGACAGCAGCGAGAAGCTCTGCCAGTGACTTTGCAAGAGAGACTGAGAAGAGGGTTATGGTGGAGAATTGGGGCTCCTCTTCCCAGCTCAGGTTGGACCACATTGCACATCGCTGGCTTTGCTCTTCCTCCCCACCCTCTTATGACCTGGCCCTGCTTTTTGTCCCCCCCCTAGTCGTACCACCCACAAGCTCCCCATCCTCTCCCAGTCCCCCCAGTACAGCCAGCACTCACCTTTAGAGGAGTCCTCCCTGCGGTGGCAGGTCCCAGGGCTGGCTTGGCAGGAGACCACCTCTCCCTTCCTCCGCAGGTGGGTCCAGCCCAGGAGCAGGGAGCAGAGGAGGGCGCAGAGGCAGAGCCCCAGCAGCAGGTACACCACCAGCCATGGCTCCTGCTCCACGCAGGTCTTCTGCTCCAGCACAGCCTCCGGGGACAAGGCCGTGTCCAGGGCTGCAGCCGGAGGTGGGGTGGCCACCAGGGTACCTGCTGTGGGCCAGGCAGAGATGGGTGTGCTTAGAGACCCCTCGGGGACACAACTTCACACTATTGACCCTTTGTGTTAATGGCACTTGTGCACTCGGCTTGGAAAGAATTTGAAAGCAACTATGCACCACCTCTCTTGGCTTGCATTTCTCTTCCATGGTGAAGTGGAGGAGACCACTTCCCTCCAGCCCCCCCCTTCTTCCTTCTCCAGTGCTCACGGCTCAACCCCAACATGGGACTTGTAGATCTCAGGGGAAAATAGCCCTTCCCCTCCTGCTCCCCCTTCCCGAGGGCTCGAAGTAGCCCAGCAAAGGGGGGAATGTGACTGCCCCCCCAGCCCCAGCTGGTAGAGCTGAAGGACATGTGGTGAAAAGGGAAAATGCACTGTGTGATGGAGAAAACAGGAGAGAGACAGACACCCTGGCTTTCTTTTCCCTGGTCCCAGTGAAATGGCAGCTCTCACAACCCCCAGGATGGAGAGAGGGGGTTTGCTGCTCCTGTCCCAGCTTCCCTCCCCCAACCTGGCTCCTCTCCCAGCCCCACATCCCACTCCCCCTGCCCTCCCACCAGCCTTACCTTCGCAGGACGGGGCGCATTGCTTTGGGTGCTGCCCGCAGATCGTGGTGCAGTTGATGCATTTTTTCAGGAGCTCGTCGTAGTAGAAGCCAGGTTTCCTGTTGCAGTCCATGGACTCTGCGAGAGGGGAGGGAGACGAACACAGTGTCCTGAGCGTGTCCTCCTCCTCCTCCCCTGTCATTTGAGCACGAAGCTTCCAAACCACTGCCTTCCCACCGCCCCGCGTGCCTGGGTCACACGAGGACGTGCCTGTGGCCACCCTGAAGGAGCTCACAGCTCAGATGGGCACAGGGTGAGCCCTGTGGATTGCAATAAGTGTTGACAACCTCTCTGGGGCTGGCAGGGTGACAGATCCATGGGACTTGCAGTGCTGTTTGGCCGTAGGATGGATACTGGGGAAAGGCATCAGCTGGTGGCTCTGTGGGGAGGGGAGGGTACCCAGCCAGGCGTGAGCAGCTGTACCCATCTGCGACACCTCCTGTTGCTGCTCTTAGAGCTGTTGCCACCCTGGGACGTTTGGGACACACCAAAACCTTCCTGAGCGCTGGCTCAGGACGCTGGGAATGGTTTGGGTGTAAAGTGTGTCCATCTCCCTCGTCCCCACCTGTTACTGCTGCACCTTGGTGCCTGCCCCAGCACAGGGCAAACGTACAGCTTGAGTTTATAATTACCCACGTCAAATGAGCCTGATGTGTCTGGAGACCCTGCCTTTGGAGGGTGGGGTGTCACCGATGGGGGATGTGAGCGTTGACCACGGCTGGGAAGTTGTCACGTTCCCCGGCATGTTTGGCTTGAAGCTCAGTTGAGCTGAGCTGGATCAGAACCTGCCCTGTGGTTCATCCCAGGGTCTGATCTCCCCTCCCAGCTTTGCCCCATCATTGCCCACTCCATCTAAGGAGAGCCCCACAGGTAACAACAGCCCCACGGTGCCCCCCGACACCCCCCGGGACTCACCGCACAGGACAGCACACCTCCTCACTGTGGGCCAGCCGCAGACGAGGCTGCAGGGGATGCACTGGTAAACGAGGGTGTCCCAGTACTGCTGGTCGGTGCAGTTGTTCATGGCATCCCACCCGAGGTGTGTCCCATCCATGGCTGCGGAATGGAAGGTGAGTAGGTATGGGGTGGCCACCACCAGAATCCCTGTGGCCACCTCATCCCTTTGCAAGGGCTGGGACCTCTTGCAGGAGAGGGCTGTGACCCAGACCTCTCTGGTCCTTGGTTTAGGCAAGAGCATACAGCAAAATCAGGTCTTTTAAGCTCTTCAAGTTATAGCCCTACATGAGTGTGTCCTGTGCCAGTCCCTGGGGACACCCAGGAGACCACCCTGGCTTATAGGTGGCCCTGTGCTGCACCCTGATGGTGTGGGGACACACAGGATTGCCTGTGGGAGTGAGAGCAGGGGGAACTGCTCCTGTCTTTATGTGCTTTTCTGGAAATAACAGAAAGAAGACCAGAATGGCCACTGTCAAAGTCTTCTGAAACTATTTTTAATTCTGGAAACTTCTGAATTCCTCTGTGGCATCGGGGTTCGTGTCACCCTGTGCGTAATTTCTGACATCACAACAGTGCTCTGGCATCATAACGAAACCCGATTTTGATATGTAAAACTCCTCTGAGCAGTAGGAGGAGGGAGGTCTCTCTGGGAGAGCTTTAAGCACTGGTTGAACCAGCTCCAGCCGGGATGCCCGGGGGTGGACACGCTCCTGCCAGGATCCCTGTGTCCCATCCTCCTGCCGTGGTGAGCCCTGTGCCTGCGCGGGCTGATGCAATGCCAAAGGCACAGGAGCGAGACATCAGCAGTGCTGCAAAAATCTAGCCAACAACTCACAGTTTTAAGAATTAGGTTGCTAATGAGCTTTTACTTATTAGCAGAGGAATTATTTGTGCCTGTCCCCATCGTTGGGTGGCTGCATATCTCTGGCTGCAGCCTCACCTGTGCCACCTCAGGGTTTGGCCTTGGAGGCAACCCGAGGGATGGTCTGGGTCCACCTCGGCTGTGCCGTCCCACAAGCCTGGTTTGGTCTGTGGTGAGCACACCCCAGCATCTGCAGGAAGCTCTAAGCAGGGTTTGGCCCCGGAGGAAACCTGAGGGATGGTCTGGGTCCACCTCGGCTGTGCCGTCCCACAAGCCTGGTTTGGTCTGTGGTGAGCACACCCCAGCATCTGCAGGAAGCTCTAACCCATCACGAGGGCGGCCGCGGTGGAAATGTGCCGTTTGGTGACCGAGAGGGCTGGTGGGCGACCGCATCCCTCCGCGCAGCCCTGCCGGCAGCCACAGCTGTTTCCTGCCGGGGCTGACAGCACCCAAAAGGTTTAAAACCCCCCGACGCCGCAGCACTGCAGCAGCCACCGTGTGCCCAAAGGCTGCACCTTACCTTGGCTGGAGCTGTTGCAAAGTCAAACTTTGCTTTTTATATAGAAACCCCCCCTTTTTACATAGAAAACCCCTCTCTCTAGTAGGTGGGACTGCAGCAGTGGGGCGCTTTGTATGTCCCTCTGTCCTGTTGTCACCCACACAGCTCCTTCCCTGCAGAGGGGCTGGAGATGGGCTCCCTCCACTGCCTGCTGTGAACTGGCTCCTTCCTGGGGCAGCACGTGGAAAGCCCCCCCCTGGTTCTCAGGAATAAATCCACTCTGCACAGGGATGCTGGCCTTATAGTCCCAGTTGTTCAATTAACATTGCTATAAAATTAAATAATTACTTTCTATTGAGCTGACTGAAGACATTCCCCAGGGCAGAGCGAGGCTCAGGCTGGCGTTCTTCTCAGATGCTCTTTGAAGATATTTTTTTACCCAAAGAGAAGAAAGAGAAGCCCCCCACAGATGGTGGTGAGCCCTGGGGATGGTGATGAGCCCTGGGGATGGTGGTGAGCCTGATCACCCCTGAGCTACAGTGGGGTTTCACATGGGGTAACTGCATGGGAAATGGAGATTTGGGGGCTGCATCTAAGCCTGGGGGCTGCAGACGGGGCACCTCCTTCCCCTCTGCTGCATGGACAGGTCCAAGATGGGTGTTTGGCCCCAAATCTGGGACAAATCCTGCCCGATGGCTGAGCTCTGCCCTCCAAGGAGCCTCCAAGGTGCTCCTGGCGTGGTCCAGCCAGGCTTTGCAGCCACAGGGCTCCTTCCCCTCTGCTGCACGGGCAGGTCCAAGATGGGTGTTTGGCCCCATCTGGGACAAATCCTGCCCGATGGCTGAGCTCTGCCCTCCAAGGAGCCTCCAAGGTGCTCCTGGCGTGGTCCAGCCAGGCTTTGCAGCCACAGGTTTTCCAGTAGAGCCGGCTGCATCTCCCCCTCATCCCCTGCACCCACCAGGGACCAGCACCCCAAACTCCCCTACAGACCCCTCATCCAAAGTATTAAGCGACCACTTCATCTCCAGCCCCATGACACTAATCATAGAACCATAGAATGGTTTGGGTTGGGACCCCTCATCCAAAGCATTAAGCGACCTCTTCTTTTCCAGCCCCATGACACTAATCATCTTCAGCAGGGTGGAAACCCTTTGTGGTGGCTCTGCTCCTCCAGCGAGAGCCTGGGGAGACCCTCCACTCCCCACCAGCACTCTGGAAATATCGCTGTGGCCCCAAACTCTGCCACAGACAAGCCCCTCACCCCCATGTCCCTACGCAGCCCCTCCGTGGGGTCACTCACGTTTGACTCTCCCGCGGCGTCTAGTCCCCTTGGGCTCCTGCCATCGCACGGCGAGCTCCAGCCCCGAGCCCGCGCATTGCTCGGGAGGTTTATTATTAGAGATAGATTTGATTAATGCCTGGGCTCTGCGTTTCCTGGGGTTTCCCCTTATCCCTTCGATGCAAATCTGCCGCACGCACGGCGCCTTGCATTGGCTCGCTGGGCGTCCCTGGGCTCGGGGGACGGGGACGGAGGGAGGCACCCAGCGAGGAGGGGTGTCCTGGGACAGGCGGCCACGTTGCAGAGGGGCTTGCAGGGGTGGGGGGTCTGCAGCCCCTACCCTTGCATTGTCTGGCTGCAGGGGGGGGGGGTTTCTTCTGCAGAGAAGGATGTTTTGCTCGGGAAAGAGCTCTCCTGGGTCAGGAGAGCCGGTGGGAGACCCGGCGGGTTATTGCTTTCCCAGGATTTGCCGGGAAGGAGCAGCTGTGTCAGAGCAAGAGGCCATGCAGCCCCAGGGGATGCTGCAGGTGAAAAGAAAGAAGTACCCCTTGCCAGGGGTCTCTGTCACAGCCAGTATACCCCCATGGGTGACATCCCACTGATGCCACACAGCCTCTGGCCGGGACCGAGCATCTCTCTGTGCTCCTGACTTCCCTGCCCGCAGGATGCTCAGCTCACTCCACTGGCCTGTCTCCTGCTCATGGCATGTAAAGCATCTCCTGGGCCCTGATAAGATGCTTTAAACACCACTTTTCTCTAGTTCCTCGGAGGCAGGAGGGTTGCTGGAGGGCTACGCTGTGCTGTGCTGCCCTACTCGGGCAACGGAGGTCCCGCCTGGGCTCAGAGCCCGGCGCTGCCCTCGCTGCCAGCACTGGAGGTGCATGAAGCATTAATGACACTGCTCGGTTTTCACAGAGGGAAAGAGCTACCTCTGTGCTGCTGGCAGCCTCCAGGAGTACAGCTGTATATTTATTTTTAGATCTCACCTCACCCTGCAAGTGGAATGGGCTTGATCAGCGAACCCGAGACAGAGCAGCCAAAGGCAGCACCCCCGGGGCTGCCTCCAAGGTGGGGCTCTGACCCCACCATGGTGTTGGCACCATCTCCCCTTGCTCAGCCAGGGTAGGAGGGAACAGGCTCTGACCACCACCCTGGCTTCCCCGGTGCCTCCAACCAGCAATATACCCCACATAGATCTGGCCGGTGGCACGATGCTCCGTAGGGAATGTCTGGTGAAAGCAAAGTTGTACTGTCCAGTTACTGGTTTCCCCCTTATCCACTGGCAGGGCGGCCATTTCTGGAGGTTTCTCCCCCTATCCCATAGAGGTGCTGGGGATGGTTGTGCTGTGGCCATGACAGTGGCCATGACCTTGCCCCCTTGCGTGGCAGGACAGTGACTCAGCTCAGCCCGGTGGGACCTTTCTGCAGAAGCAGCTGAAGTGGGAAGGAAGAAGCAATACCTGTTACTTTCTATAAACATCAGCGGGGCAGCGTCAAGGTTTTTTCCATTCAGTTCAAAAACTCCTACTTTGTGCTTACCCTGGCAACCGAGAGAGACCAAAAGGCCACTTGCAGGGTGCACCACTCTGTGTCCATTGCAGGGACACCGGAGGCTGGACCCGCTCACAGGGAACAAAGCCCAAAGCAGAGAAACCCAGCACATCTGAGGCTGGATGTGGCCCATTGTGTCCCAGCCCCTGTGGGAGGGAGGGAACCAGCATCTGCACCACCCCATGGACCACAGGGCTTGGAGAGAAGGCTGGGAGGGGAGGACCACCATGGTCACAGGGACACTGCGGCAGCGATGCATGTTGTAGCTCTGATGTGCATCTGATGTAAGGGATGGGACCATCACAGGGCTTGAGTCTCCTGCCGGGAAGACCTGTGGAGGGTCCTGGGAGGGAGGGGGAAGGCAGAGGCATAGCCAAAAAAGATGGGTTGCGTGGTGCAAGGGTTTGGGGGAAAAATATGCCTTTGCACGTAGTTGCTGGCCACCCATGTGCAGGCTCGTCCCACTGGTGCTGCGCCCTGAGCAGATGTCAGAGCTAAAGCTGACGGGAAAGGAAATAGTGATTTTGGTGTTGTCTGTGCTGCGTGAGTGGGGCAGAGCGTGTCCCTGGAGCCACGGCCCCAGCCCTGCGCTCCGGCTCTCGGGGTTTTGCAGGGGAAACCTGCCTCTGTAAATAGCAGTGGGAGACTTGCAGTTTCCACCCTGGTGTGCCCTCAAGAGGGAAGTGAGAAGCACTTTGTCCCTCCTCGCTGAGCAGAGATCAGGCAATGAGAGTTTGGCTTTAAAATTCTCAGTGGGTGCTGTGACCGGAGGGAGCCCCATGTCCTCAGCCATGCGCCCCAACAGCCTGACCCTCTGTGCCCCAAGTGCTATCACCCCCTCCCTCAGCCTCCCAAGACCGTGTGTGGCTCTTAAGCACCTCCATACAGGCAGGGGCTGATGACCTGCCCTGCCTGGGGTTGTCCTTGTGCTCTGGGACACCAGCAGGGATCAGGCAGCAGCTGCCAGGACCTTCTTCTGGGTTAAACCCTTCCTTTGCTGTGTGCCACTGGTGGGAGAGCATTGATCAGCTGTTCCCCATGTGTCCCCCCAGTGTGGTACACCCTTCTGCATCCCCCAGCATCCCCTCTACATCCCCCTGCATCATTTTCCATCCTCCAGCATCCATCTGCGGGTGGCTCCAGAGATGCCACAGTCAATTTGGGGTAAGAGAACCCAATTTTGTCCCAATAATAAAATCTTTTTTCTCTTCTGGGCTCTTGCCCCAGTGGCATCGCTGCGAGGAGAGCTGCAGGTGACAGGCAGACAGGGTGGATAATGTTTGACTCTGAAAATGTTGGGGGGATGCCTCTCCTTCCCTCTGAGCAGCTTTGCTGGGATATTTTCCCCCCACCTCTCCTCAGCCCCTCTGCTCTTTGGAGTCCCCGTGCTCGGGCAGGGCTGGGCCACCTTGGCCAAGGCATTTGCTCGCACACGTGCTCCCTTTGGGACCCGAAACGAGGGGCCGCGGGGGTAGGAAGGAGAAGAGGAGTCATTTTGGGTCGAAACCGGCAACTGGGAGGCCAGGCTGAGAACAGATGTCTCTGAAGACTCATTTCTTTCACCCTAATTCCCTGTGGGCACGTGCACTTGAATGCATTGGGGTCAGGATGGGCACGTCCCCTGTGCTGTCCTCAGTGACCTGCCACCGCCACCGATTCCTCGTGGTGAAATGGCAGAGCTGCTCCGTGACCAAAACCACGAGGTTTTTGGTGCAAGCAGCCACCGTTCCCTGTTTTTTTGGTGCGGGCAGGTGCCTGGCCTGGTGCGTGGTGGCACATCAGTGAGTGGTGACACCCTGGGTGCAGAACCTGTGTCCACACACAGCTGAGGAGCCACGGCCACACCGTGACCATCCCGCTTGTGAAGAACCACCACGGGACGTTTGCGACCGTGGCTGGAGCATCCCTGCCTGCAACGCCGTAGCCCAGCCGAGGCAGCAAGGATGCTGCACCCCAGTTCATCCCCAGTCCCCCCCGACTCCTGCAGCCCGTGGGGGACCCATCCTGCACCAGGATGCTGAGTCCTCAGCCGTGCTCCCGGCTGTTTGGGTCTCTCCCCAGGAGATGGCACCCTTGGCCAGCCCAGCCTGCCTCCCTGCTGGGTGCCCTGGCTACCTTCACATCCTCCAGCTGGCCACACTGGCCCTGCCTTTGCCCAGCATGGTCATGGTCTCTGTGCCAGGGAGGATGCCCCACAGATTGGCTCTGTTTCCACCGGCCCCAAGGTGAAGTCTGTGCCAGGGAGGATGCTGCCCCACAGGTTGGCTCTGTTTCCACCGGCCCCAAGGTGAAGGTGGGGTTCAGGTGCCCCCCACGCTGCTCCGTTCCTCCCTTTCCCCCACTGTCCCGTCCTGCCACTGCCCCATGGGGCTGCAGTGGGGCATCACCCCAAGGATGCTCAGCACACACTGGTGCCTGGGCACTTTGGCAGCCCCCATGCAGTGGGGTCTGCCCCCTCGCAGTGGTTGTGCTGGGGGGCTGTGGGTGAACCCCGGGGCGAGACAGGCTCCAGGGTGTGCATCATGGGTGACGCTGCAAGACCAACCTTGCCAAAACCCAGTGCAGATGAGAAGAGGGAAGCATTACTGAAAACCAGGCTGTGTTCAGGGCCAGCTCCCCAAACCCAGTAGCCAACTGGAGAGGAAGGACAGCAGGACGGGGAAAGACCTGGCTTGGCTGAGGGTTGGCACAGAAACGAAGATAAAACCCTATAAATGCCTAACGAAGGGGCAGGGAAAGGAGGCTTCAGCGCCAGGGAAGCGTGCTGAGGTGTAAAGCGTGGGTGGCAGATAAGGAAAATGAGTCAAAGAGCAATCTTTGGCCAGAGGAGCTGATCGGATGACAGGGTGTTTTTAACTCCTCATATCCCACCTCCGACATCGCTGGATCTTCTCGCAACGAGAGGCGTTTCTGGCCGGACCCCGGCGGGAAGGGGCTCGCAGGCTGCCGAGGAGCTCTGCTGTTAATTTTTAACACTAAAAACCCTGGGGAAATTCCAGAGGGCTGGAGGGCGGCCAGTGGGAGTCTAATATTTAAAAGGGATAAAAGGGCTGACCCTGGGAATTACAGACCAGGTAGACGGATCGCAGTGCCTGGGCAAATTATGGGCTGGGTAATTGGGGATACTGTCAGCCAAAAATTAGAAGCTAAAAATATAATTAAGGTCGTTAGCTTGGTTTCATGGATGGCAGCTCCTGTCAAGTGAGTCGGCTTTGGTTTTTGGCATGACTCTGGGCTGGCTGATAAAGCTAATTGTGCTGCTGCATTATAATGGGTTTCTCCAAAGTATTTAATTTACGGCCATGTGACATTTTCGTTTGTAAAACTTGCATTATATGGAGTCAGCAGAGCAGACATCCGACGGCTGTGGCTGGCAACTCAGGGGGAGGTGGCCAAGGGGGCTAGTGATGGAGGAAGCTGGATGGGACATTACTTGTAGCAGGGATGCTGGGGCTGGCGGTGAGAGGGAGCAGCCGGTCCCCTCGCAGGAGGA